TTTTCAACAAGAAAACAAATAATCCAATTAAAAAATGGGCGGAGGACCCGAACAGACACTTCTCCCAAGAAGACATACAAATGGCCAACAGATATATGAAGAGATGCTTAACTTCATTAGCTATTAGGGAAATGCAAATCAAAACTACACTGATTTGCTATATCTTAGATTCTTTTAGAGAGTTAAAAAGATACACCTAAGCTCCTTCTGGATCAGATTCTTTGGGCTGGGTCCAGGGGATTAGTAATTTTTCAAGTTCCCTATATGGCTCTGATCTAATATGTAGCCAGTGTTGAGAACCATTGGCTGTGTATTTGGAATTGGTGGTTGCTTGTGAATCTGAAGGTTTTCTTAAAGAATATGAAGCCAGAAACTATATAAATATTTTTATCATTTTCACTAGTTGGTGATAGACTGATGAGTTATTTGGCTCTCATGTTTGACCCAGGCAGTAGATGAATGCATTCTTTCGTCCAGGCAAGGTTGAGGGACCATGTTGACAGATTTTTTTTTCTAAAACTTACCATTTAGTTCCTAAATTGTCAAACAATTCCTGAGATCTATCGTTTCTTTCTGATTATAGATTTTCTACATTTTACAGTTGTTTCTTTCTTGTTCTTTATAGGTCCTTTATTGATGATTTTAGTTTTTTAACTATAATTTATATTGATTTGATTATGTAATACCTTCTTTTTGTTAAGTTCATTTGTACTGGGCATTTGTACTGTTCTTAGGCCAGATTCTCATTTATTGTATGACACTCTTGTTACCTGAGGAGCTTATTGTTTTATCTTAATTCAACCTCATGAGCTCTGTGTTGACCTTTGCCTGCTTCGCTTTAACCTAGTTCTTATTATCAAATTGGGTTCATAGGCACTAGGAGTGCTTTTACATGAAGCCTTTGTTCAGTTACAAATATGATTTTTAAAAGTTGAATACATATTGGCTTTTGTAATAAAATTTTAAAATGAATCTTACACAATCTTGTAGATAGTTGCTGTTGTGAATAGACATTTAAAATTTTTGAGACCCTGTACTGTCTTCCTGTTTTTATTGCCGCATACCTGTCATTTTTATGGGAAGTAACCATTCTGTACTGTTACTTTATTTTCTCATTTTCACTAAGTATTTTACATGTATTAACCCATTTACAGTTCAGAACAGCCTTGTGAGGTAGGTACTCTTACTACTCCCCTTTTCCAAATATGTAAACGGCACAGAGAATTAAAATAGGTTAGGTAGCTACCCTTAATGGTGGCGCCGTTACATGGTACCCAGTGCCACCCGGGCTGGCTCGGGCTCAAGCCAGCTCTCCTATTCACTGTGTGCCTCCCGGGCACCAGTGCACCCCTTCCCTTAATTTGGTTGATACGCAAGCACACTGGCCTTTGTTGGCCAGATTAATGATTACTGACATCCCTGTACCTGGAGCTGGAGTGAATGGTGAGGTCGTGCTTGCGATACTTCAGCCGGTGCTTATGTGGGAACTGCACTCAGAGCAGCGTTCACGCAGATTTTAGTCTTCTCTTCCAAAACTCCGTCTGTTTCAGATTTGCTTTGGAGGGAGTGGTGATACATGTTTAGATCTGTATTTTTATGTTAACATCTAGTAGGCCTTTTACACTTGATCTTAGCCAAAGCGATTGCGAGGCCCTTGAACACCCTTCCCTCTCCTCCAGGTCCATCTCCTTTCTAACTAACAATGTAGTACTTGTCTAGCTAGCACTTACCTCCTAGGTTGCTGGGAAGTTAGAGTGCCAGTCTTTGAGACCCAGAAAGGAGCCTGAAAGATATCTAGTCCAACTTTTCTCACTTATGTGAAAAAACTGAGGCTGCACAGTCAGTTGGGGGGTGATTTGGAACTTCGGCCGATCATTCTGACCCGGGTCCAGTGTTGCTTCATTTGGTTGTGCTGTTTGCTGTCATCTGTAGTAGTCTTTTAAAAATAGTATTATATGTATCCTTTGCAGAAATTATATATTTTTGACTTAGTAGCTTGCTCCCGATTATGTTGCTGTCAGGAAGCAGCGATGTTTGTTTAGTTCTTTGCAGTTTTTGAAAATGCTTTCTCATCATTTATCTCATTTAGTTGTTAGGAAGATAACCTTTTGCCCGAGGTCCGTGAGTAGTGGCACAGATTTCTCTGTTATTCTGGCATGTTCATTGCCTCTGCGCCTTCACAGACCCAGCTCCCTTAGCTTCAGACAGTGTGGACGCAGGCCGCTGGGGTTATAATGTCATTCAGGCTTTGCAGTTTCCCAGCTCCAGCTCTCTCCACAACTTCTGGGGCCTCCTGCATTGGAAGGCCTGAAATTCCAGGCACGAAGATGTTGCTTGTTTTGAGGCACTTAATTTCTTGGCTTCTTAAGACTACTTGTGATCGGGGAAGTTCTTTTTAAAACTTAATCAGAGGTTCAATATGTAGTTAAGCAACAAATTGCGTAGAAACAAACACAAGGATAATCGTATCATTTATTGTACGAACATTCTTCATCAGAATGGTGTTAGAGATAAGATAAATTATATGGCTGTAATGTGTGCCCATGTGATTTGGCTGGTGGCAAGGAAGGGAGTGAATTGTTAGTCTAAGGCTCTAGCCACTGATTGCCAAAACTTTCTACAGCGGAGGCCTATTACCTAATCAGCTCGGAGGCTCTTGAGAGGATCCTCTACGATTCATGATTAAGTTAAATTAGTTGAGCAGAGTAGAGTCTGTGATAAAATGTGTCAGTTTGTTATTGATTATCTAACATAAAAAATGGAAATAAAAGGTAGAGTGGTTTTCCTAGAGACTTTAAAGTCTCTACATTTTTGTAGATCACATATTAAGACTATTTGTTTGAACTGTATGCAGTTCATTGCTTGTTTGAGAATGGGATGTGAACATTTTAGGATCACTTTATGATAGTCCTGGGCAAATAAGAGTTAGAGTTAAGCTTTTTATCCTTGGGTTTCTAATAGCTACTGCTGAGGTGAGCCTTATACGTTAAGGTTATCTGAAGATAAGGCTGCAACTCATTGTCTCAGAGTTCAAAGGAGAGCCTTAGCTTCAGGGACATAAATCACTGGGCTGTTATCCATCGTTTGTGGCAGAAGTGCATATGAACAGCATTCATCTGACAATCTAGTATCACTTACCTGCGGTTTGAGGTCATCTCTCCAGGGGCTTATGTTGGTGCTTTGAACTGTTTTGTAGAGATGAGAGTTCAAATTTATTTCTGTTCTTTAATTTGAAGTAGTGGGTGGTTTTTGTGTGCCTTCTCCAGCAGCCAGTATTTACCCCATTGTGCCCATCCTTAAAACCAGATTAGGTTCTGCTTCAGCGATGGAACTGTCTGAGATCAATTAGGTTATTTGTAGAAAAATTTTATTTTCTAGCACTCCATTGTTTGCTGTTTGTTCCACGAGTGTTAGTCCCCTCCCCCCCACACACACACAAGTTGACTGTGAGCTCTGTGAGTCCAAGGTATGTATCTTATTCTAAAATTTGTATTAGCAGGGTTTACCTGGATACTTAAGGGGGCATCAGGTAAAGTAGATAATTGAGCCAGGCCAGGTGGGGCCCACAGGTATCCCCCCAAATATTTTATCTTTGTCCACAATTTTGATGTTTTCTCCATATATGAACAGAAGTGTTAAACATAGGTATGGTTAGTTTCTTTCAGTGATAAAAACTTTGTTTCTAAGTCTTATTGTAGTTTGTAGCATTACCGTTTTAATTTTTTTTATGCATTAAGGAGAAGGGACATAAGTTCATGTACATGAAATTTGTTTGCACATGAAGAGAGAAGGCCGCTAAAAGCCAGGTGAAAAACTGAGTATAGAACAGAGACAACAGCTGTCTTCTGGAACGTCAGAGAATTCTGTAGTCTGGAAAGGGAGTTTTTTATGCCTCACCCCTGAATACATCTTTGTGAGGCCCATGTCTGGAGGCTGCATGTGCCTTTGTTGATTAAGATTGCCAAAAAGCCATTTTCCCTCACCTCACATGTTTTCATTGATGTAATTATATAAACTTATCTATTAAACTACAGTTATAACATGGCTAAATTCATTTTGCTTTGTAAAATTTTTGTCATTGCCATGTTTGCCTCTTGTCTTTTTTATATTATGTGGAAATGAAAGTAATAACAACTAGTATTTATTGAGTGCTTAATACATTTGGTTTAAATTTATTATTGTTTTCATACCTTTCCTAACTTTTCACAGGAAATGATGTTTTAGTGATGGTATTTTATCAGGAACTATTCTAGATGCCCAGGAGAAAAGTTAACTTGTTACATACAGTGATTTGCTAAGAACATTAGGGATTAATTCTCTTGGTTGAAAAGGGTGACTGGATAGCTAAGCTAAGAGGATAGGGATGACACGGAGACTTTTTGAACTGTGAACTTTATGGATGTATTATCATTAGTACTGAATTATTAATACTAAATCAAATCATTAGTAACAAATCAAAGTGGTATATCAGCGTTAAAACTTTTCATTTGGAATCCTGACATACCTATTTAGGAAGAGAAAAGTCTTGGCTCTGTCAAGTATTATTTCACATAACATCAGTAAATATTCTGCGTTGCAGAAGCAAATTGGGCTGCTGCTAGCCATTTTGAGCAGCAGTACTTGTATAAAACTGAAATGGAGCTAAATCTGGCATGTAGTAGCAAAATTGGGGGGTATAGCTATTTAAGTAGAGAATGTCCTTAGTTTGGTAAAAGGGTTAGAAATGCAATCTTCTTTGGAGACTGATGAAAAATAATAGATAAAATAAAGAATCATGTGCTCAATGAGCTACAATTCAAATAGAGGAAATTTAATGGGAAGTGATCACATTAGTAGCAGATGGGTTTGCTTCCTGAATTGCACTCTTACTGGAAACCCTAGAACCACTTAAATTTGTTTCCCAGATTTAGAGTTCGATAGGAAGATAGATGAAGAGATTTGTTTATTTGGTGTGCTCTTGTGATTCTTACTGTGTCTTTTGACTGTTTCATTTTTACTAGGCTATTTTCATGATTCCCACAAATCCACCACCAACATTCAGGAAGCCAGAACTCTGGTCTGATGATTTCACTGATTTTGTTAAAAAGTGCCTAGTGAAGAATCCTGAGCAGAGAGCTACTGCAACGCAACTTTTACAGGTCAGTGTTTGTGCCACTAAGGGAAGGATATTTTCATTATGTCTTTCAGCTTTCTGACATTAACTTCCAGGATGGCTGTGAGTTCCCTTAGCTGATTTCTAGATGCCAGCCTCCCAGGAAATGTGGTCTGATAGATGCACATCCGTCCTCACACCTGCAGCCACCACCTCCATTCTTCTGTGTGTTCTCCGTGTATTACTCTTTTCTTTCCTTTTTCCAAGTTCAGTGTCTCTTTTCCCTTTTTCTGTTTTGTTGTTGTTATTGTGGTTGTCAACTCTTTCCCCCTAAAGTTGTTTTAAAACAAAACCTCCAAGGGTTCTCATTTCAGAAATGAGCTCTCACCTCTGTCGTTACTGTTTCACGTGTTTGTCCTGATGTATTGTTCCTTGACCCCGCACTTCTTTGACTTTCTGCTCTACTTTCAGATATGTAAATACAAGATCCCTGAACTCTGAAAAGATCACGTTGTACATGTTGGTTACAAGGTACCTAAATGAAGACTTTCTGTATTCCTGCTACAAATAGACTTGTATCTAGAGTGTCAGGAAGTTTTTTTTATCTGCCTTGAAATTTAGGGCAAATAGATGCCTGGCTGGGCGTGGCTCAGCGGTTGAGGGTCAACCTAGGATCCAGGCAGTCGGGGTTCGATTCCTGGTCACAGGGCACATGCCCGGGTTGCGGGCTCGATCCCCAGTCAGGGGCGTGCAGGAGGCAGCCGATCAATGACTCATCATTGATGTTTCTATCTCTCTCTCTCCCTCTCCTTTCCTCTCTCTGAAATCAATAAAGATATATTAAAAAAAAAAATTTTTAGAGCAAACAGAAATAATGTAATACTTTCAGTAAGTATTTGTGAGTCTTCATTTTCCGAACAGAATTGGCTCAGACCTCTAAACTATTAATAAATGTGCCTAACATTAACAAAACTTGATATTTGGAAAATAATTCATTTATTAAACAACCAAAGGATTCAAAGCATGGTTCTTATAAAAAGTGATGTTTTCCAAAGTACTGTTTAAACAAAAGTATTTGTTAAGGGGTGCAAGAAACAGGCTCTTAAGTATAATGCTTATTGCTGTGAAAATATAACTTAGTGCTCATTCTCCAAGGAAGGCAGTTTAGCAATGTCTGTCTAAAATAAAATGTCAAATATTCTTTGACCCACTAATTATACTTGTAGAAACTTACTCTACAGAAAAATTTAACTACGCATGAAATAAAATGTGTAAAAAGATTCATAGAGCATTGTAATGGCAGAGGCCTGGAAACAACATAAAAAACTGTCAACAAATTGTAAACAGTTTAAGCTCCATCGAGAGGAGTGACTGGCAAAATACACC